TTCGGAAAACAGCAACAACGAAGGGCCACATCAGAATCCAGACTGTGCTGTCACAAGTCGTGTCTCCTCATTAACAGCAACAATTATAAGCTGACATAAAGTGTAATTATACTATCCACAGCGTTAGATTCATCAGGCAATTACAGCCATTAATAATGCACCCCAGCCCGATGAGCAGAGCGGACTCGCAGTCCGGCACCCTCCATTTTTCAGCAGACCACTGATGAATCCCACAGCAGATCAGAGAAGCTGTTTCTTGCCTGCCGCAGCGTTAAGCGTGCATTACGTTTTGTATCGCTAGCAGTTACCATTAGCAAAGACTGCTTTCTTCTAATTAGCACTGACTTGTGCCTTTCATCTCATCCCTATGTTTTGAGACCAGCAGCCGTGCCAGCTCGCCTTGTAAGGCCCCCAAAGTCCTTTACGTGGAAGCTGCCAGGGATGAACCCAGTACAGCCTGAAGACAGTGCACTTCAGCCAGAGGGAAACACCCCAGACGCCGACACACGGGCTTGCACCGACAGCCTCGGGTGCTGGAGCCTTCTCCAGAGCATGCCTGCTGGAAAGGCTCCGTGGGAAGACTTGCCTCCAGCCCTCGGAAAGTCCCATTTCCATGCACACAAACAGGCAGAGCAGCTGAAAAGTTCTCTGTGCAACAGGAATACCCGGCACAGTGGGACAAACCGTGCAAATCCGCCCAGCCGAGCTGGGTAACTCGTGCTGGTTTATCACAAATGTACAGGAAAGGGGTGGGAAAATGAAAAATCCCACAACAGCAACACCTTTCCTCTCTCGATCCTTGAAGTTTCCTTTCAGGAGAGCCCAGAAGACCAACATGCTTTATAAGCAAAAGAACGAGTCCGAGGGCTATCATTTTCTCCAGCTTTCTCCCTAAGTGAGATACAGTAAATATTCCTTGTGTCCTGACCATGGCATGTTGAATCCAACATACTGCTCAAAAAATCCCTTCAGTAATGCAGAACAGGGCATTTTATTCCCCTTCTCAAACAGCCACCGTGGGCACCAGCAGCTGCTCCTCATGCCCGCAGGCTGCCACAAGCAGCAAGGCGCTGATGCGACTTGTTGTGCGAGGTTTTCCTTCCCTGAAAAGCGGCAACACTTGATGCTTATTGCAAGGGAAGAAAAATACATGCATGTGTTTGGCTGGGCCACAGAAGAGAAGCAGCAGTGGCCAGGGACCGGCCCGAGCGCCCGCACTCCGGCTAGCCCCAGGCCCTCCCTCACTGCCTGGTCCCTGCAGGCCCAGAGCACCAGAGGCGTCAAACCTAGCTCGGCCAAATTCACTTTAAAACGTTTAAAAATCACGACAAAGCGCTAGAAACTATTTCCTCCCTAAAACTGGTTTCAATAGTGTCATCCCTGCATAGGCAAGGGATACAGTCCGCTAATTAGAGCATCATCTATCAGAACGAGCGCGGTGCCAGGCTGCCCTGCGCAGGCGATGCCGGTGAAGGAGAGCAGAGCGCAAGGGCATTTCCCCAGCACAACGGCGGCGTGGAGCTGGCTCCCGACGCTGCTGTCAGAAGTGGAGGGAAATAAATTGAGAAGGAAACTTCGCTACAGCACAAATTTACGTTTCTGTCAAAGAAGAGTGGCTGACAGCTATTTTCGGAAACTGGTCTCCATCATATTAATTCAACGTCTGGTTGAAGTTGTCTCATTTGCAGCAAATCTGGCTGGTAAATATTAACCTTGGGCTTTGTTGAAATTCTCCTTGCAGATATTACAAGGGATTGGATGGAAAAGATGAAGCAGAAAGAGACAACTTTACAGCAAATGTCAGGCAGATCCTCCACATCACGGTTTCATTTACACAAAAGCTATTGCAATACACCACAAAGTAAATGGCATGAAGGGGCCACAGCTCATGCCTGGTAAAATTAAAGGGTAAAAAGACATCAGTGCTGAGAAGTGTACCGAAAACAAAATAGGGATGGACAGGTGATCATCCACACTGCAACAGGACTTCTCACTTGCCTGCCATGCATCTGCTGGAAATAGGTTTTAAGATCAGAGTAAGTGCAGACCAGCAGCTGGCTATAGATATATATTAGACAAGAAAAGCAGTCTAAATGTATTTACAGTGACAGAACCTCTCCTCTTATTTGAGAGTAGATGTTAAACAGATGCTAAAGCTGCTCAGTTCCACCCTAGAGATGGCTGCATTTCAACGACCAGCAAAGTGATTCATCAGAAACGTGCAAACCCATGAAGCCTGTCAGGTACGCTGGGGTTTCTTCAGAGAAGTGGTGCAATAGAGAAAGATGGACAGTGAAAAGGCTCGGCTTTCTCGCAGCAGTAATTAGCAGTGCCGTAAATCCTACTAGTCTTTTTTCATCTCTCCTAATTTCAGTGTGAAGATACAAATGTTCTCTCAGCGGCAGGATGATTTCAGCACTTAGATCACGGCTACAAGGATTCTAGCTTTATGATTTAGTTCAAACAGCTTCACCAGTTCAGTGGGAAATGAAGCTCGTTCTTCCTGCAGAGAAGCCCGCACCTCCCACACCTCGCGGCTGCCACCAGCGCTGCCGACCAGGCGCAGTCCTGCCCGCCGCCAGCACCGACCCCGGCCCCTGCACCACACCAAGGGCGCCGGCAGCAGCAAAGCCAGCTGGGCTGGGGTCAGACCGGCCGAGGGCCTCAGATGGCCCCTCTGCCTGGCGAGCACAGCCCCGAGGCACCAGTCAGTCCCTGCGGAGGACAGCCTCATGTGCCCCGGCTTCAGAGCACGACGACAGAAGGCAGTGCCCAGCCGCAGGATGGCCTGGGGAACCTTCTTCTTCGCTTCTGCCATCCGATTTCCTTTTGATTTAGACCCAAGAAGTGCTTGCCTTGGCCCTAAGCACCACCCTGGCTCCATCCCAGATCCAGCCGGCAGCCAGGCCCCGCGGGGTCACCGGATACGCAGCCACCCCAGCAGTCGGCAGGGTGAATGGGTGACTGATTTCAGACACCGGCATGTCCCATGCTGCAAGCGCAGCCAGAAAGGTCTCGGAGGAGATTGAAGGATAAGGGAGAGCCGGGAGCTGCGAAGCGGCACCTGAGACAGCCTGGAGAGCCACCAGCTGCCCAGGATGGGGGGTCGGCCCCCAGGCTGTCCCTGCTCCCCAAAGTGGTCCCTGAACAAACTCAGGGTCCAACCTCTCATGGCCACAAGAACTGCGACAGACACTGCAGCCAAGAAGTTTCACGGGCAAGGAGGATCCAGCAGACTCGTACCCGCCGAGCCCTCCAAAGCCACCGCCGCAGGGCCACTGGTGGAGCCAGATTTGCTGTGCCATCACCTGGCTGTTTTAACATCCCCAAACTCCCACCGTATTTACCTGCCTCCAGCTCAAGGGCTTTTGTCCTTGTTGAAGAATTTCCTCAGCCCCAGATGCTTTCATCAGAAATCTTCTAAAGTTATTCACTTAGTGCTATGCTAATGCAGGGCTCTAAAAAATATAAAAAACTTTGAACCCTTAAAAACTATTTTTCTGATATTTGACCAGACATCAGACGCTGCTCCACAGAGAGAGACTAATGACCTGCTTTCTGTGAGAGGGGGGGAAAAAACTTAATTATGTCCATTAAATTACTTCAAATATTTTTCCTTAGAGAATATGAATTATTTAAACTCAACACAGAGAAACCTGAAACATTAGCAAAAGCCTTCTGGGACTTGCTATGTAAATTCCCACTCCAAACAGATGGGGAAAGCATGGCGAGCTGCCACGCAGCCGCTGAAGCAATGAACAGCACTGAAATTTCAATTCAATAGTTTTAATAAGGTGTCCTTAAGGAGGGCACCAAGCAAACAGCCGCTCCCCGGAGCGCCAGGAAGGGCTTCCCACATGGAGGACAACAGCACAGTTGGCACAATCTCGATCTGAAAAGCCTCAAGTAGCTCCTGAAGGACAGAGCTGATTCCTCAGGAAAAGCTCCCTCTCCTACCATGCCATACGCCTTAAACACAGGCGAACTGTACCCATTTGGGACTTATTTAGCTAATTTCCATTTTCTACCAGGTGAAAAGGTAGAGAGGTTCAAGGTATCACCTGGACACCAGGCATGGGCAATGACGGGTGTTTCCAGGTGTTTCTTACTGAAGAAAACATCTCCTCTCACACTTCCCAGCTGGTGGTCTGACCTCTCCCCTTTGCTAACGGGCCAGCCATGCACACTGCCAGTTAATAACTGGTAGCCAATTACACCTTTCGGAGAAGAAAAGCCCCTGGGTGCTGACGGAGAGAGGAACGGGGTAGGAGATGCACACCCGCCGGGGACCGCTGCCGGCTCGTGCTGGCACCTGACTCGACGCAGAGGCAGCTGAGACCATGCTGAGCTGGGACCAGATCCTGACCACGGCCTGAAGCAGGAACGTGCCCGGGAGGAGGCTTTAGCCCGGCACCTCTCTCCCTTCAGAGGCTCACACACCCCGGGAGGAGGAGCACGGCAGCCCGCATCCCGCGCTCTCGGGGCTGATCCCATGCCCGGCTCTCACCTGCCTTTGAAAGCGAGATCCAAGTGGTCACAGCACCAGGTTCATCAGAGGGACACCCGGTTAAGGTAGAGGTTATATCCATTTTTACAGCTGTCATTAAACGTAACCTTGCGAGCTGCAAAGTCACCCAATTATTAAGTTGTGTCTAAAGCAAGACAAAGGGGATGTTAATGTTGTAGAGTAATTTCATAGTTACAGATAAAGCTGTGGGAAATGCCTGATGGTATTCAGAGCTCTGGCACTTCTGCCCAGCCAACACCGTGCTGCAGAGCAGCTACCGGCAACGCGCCCCATTTACCCAATCGCCACCCTTCAAATTAAGGTCTGGCTGTTAGCTGGGGAGCTGCAATCAACTAAAAGAATCATATTGCTGACAAAAGGCAATTCCACTTGTCTGAGTTGTGCTCAGGCACCAGGCAGACTGGAGCAGTCTGGCAGCAACACGGACTGACACAGACAAAAACTGCCAGAGGACATCGACGGCCGCTTTTACCTCTGCATCCCCCGTCCTTCTCCTCGAAGCCGGGAGCACACGCGCACTTCCCTATGGGGACCAGCCACTCGCCCTCCGCGCTGCAGTGCATCCGGGGGGGATTATCCACATCCACTTGGGCGTGAGCGACACAAGCGCCCTTAACTTCCACCAAAGTCGCAAAGGCCGTCTCCGCCACCGTGTCCGGGAACACGGCCAGGTTCTGCACGGTGGCGAGGCACTTCTTGTAATAGACCCGCACGGAGACCAGCGCCACACAGGCGCCCACGTCCTGGAAGCCCAGGTGGAAGCCTCTCTTGCTCAGGTGCCCAATCTCCCTCAGCTCAGTGTTCAGCTTCATCTTACGCTCACCCAGGTCCCCCTGCGTGAAGCTCTCATCAGCAGCAATGGTGTCGATCTTGGTGTGCTTGCTCTCATGGACGCTACGGCCCAGGTCGGAGTCAGACTCGACGTAGTACAGATTGAAAGTCTCCTTGCAGGTGCCGGTCACGCCGGGGATGCTGTTGCAGTCCCGCAGGGTGAACTTCAGCTCGATGAAGATCCTCTGGCCGTCGCGCCTGGCGATCCAGCCCGTCTGCAGCCAATTGTTCTGGTTTGGCTCCATGACGTTGCAGACCTGGTACGTGCGTATCGGCTTGTAATTCTCATCCACGCCGCTGATTTCTTCCCACTGGGGAAAGAACACAAAGGGCTGTAACAGCTCGCGAGCTGCTGTGAACAAGAACCTGCCGCCCCAGCAGAAACACACCGATCGGTATAAATATCACCACCACAAGCCTCTCCACCTACAGGCCATTATATCATAGGCACTAAAAGTCCTTAGCCCACCAACACCACAAGCTGTAGTAACACAGCGGTGCTGCCAGACCACCTAATGCCCAAGCTCTTTGCAGAGGTGCAAACACAGAGATGCAACCAGAAAGAGGGCACGGGCATCAGACCTCCTAAAACAGTCTCATATGAAACTGGACACATCACCTGCTGAGAAGCCAGAGCTTCTCTCCTCAGATTTGCCATCCCTGGGAAGGTGGATCTGTACAGCGTAATGCCAGGTGGGGCTGGGCTACCCAGAGAAGTCAAAGATGGCCAAGGAGATGTGATGCCAGTCACACCATCACACAAGGACAAATAGCTTCGTGAACAGCAAGCGGCAGCTCCTCTGTCAGGAGAAGTTTTAGCTAGAACAGGACAAATCCTCTGACTGCAAGTGAAACGGTATTTCCCCAAAGTTACCAGCAGAGATTCCGATTAATGAAATGACGATTCAACCCTCACAGCCTTAAGGATGACCTGGCAGCTTCCCAAAGCAATTCTTTCTGGGGGTAAATTTACGCAAAATTGCCAAATGTACCCAAAACAGAGTTTCTCCTGCAGACTAACAGCTGGGCAAGGCAGGATCTATCACTATTCCCTCCAAATGGTTTGTTTCCATTCCGGAAAATGAACCCAAAGCAGCACAGAACACAACTCTGAGTTTCCCGGCACGCTTTCTTGAAAGCAGCTATGGACTGGCCCTGGCAGCAAAGCAGGGACCTGATCAAACAAACCCTAGGTGATGCAGAGCTCCGGATGATCCCACTCCAGCCACAGCCCTCTTCCAAGCGCCGAACTGGTCCCCAGGAGCTCGCACCGGCGTGCCAACTACAATACAGAGCCCTGGCTAGCCGGTGTTTATTACAGGAGTGTAAAATTCGTGTTGAGGAGCCGTTCCGCGTCACGTAACCAGTACTTCACTTCTCGCTCTGCTCCCCGGGGTGCCCAGCACTGAACAACGCGACAGCTCGTGCCAAGCTGCCCACCCGCCGCGGCTCGAGGAGAGCCCGTGGCTGCCAGCCCCCTCCACCGGCTCCACGCGTGGACTTGCAACACTGCTGAGCACCAAAAGGCAGCCCCTCTCCGGCAGCGCGGGGGGACAGTCCCACCTCCGCACTTACCCCGTTTGACGGGTGCGAGGTCCAGCCCAGCTCCGCTTGCGATTCCTTCGAATCCAGCAGGACAACTGCAGGGAAGACAACACGTTAGAAAGCAAACTCGCTAATGCAGGAACGCCCATAACTATCCCCCCCAGTCTGCCCGTTGGGAAGCTCGGTGCCGTGCACCCCTTCCTGGACACCCGGGGCCAGGGCCCCGAGCACAGGGGGCAGCTCCCGCCCCAGCTCCACCAGCCACGGCGTCAGCGCCTGAGCACCGAGCGGGACTCACGCTGCAGAGCTCCAGGCTGCGCATCCGGAGCAGACCTCGCAGTTATGCGATTAGCACCCTAACCTAACGAGGATGACGTCCCAGGGAAGGCTGCAGTCCTTCCCAAGGCACTCTGCAGGACAATCCCTCCGGCACCACCAGCTGCAACTGTACCGTGCCCGCAGCGCGCGTATCTCCTGGAACTGAAAGGCACAGGCAGCTGCTTTGAAAGAAGAATTTCCTTGAAAGACTACATCCTTTTCCCACAGAACAGCTAATTCTGGCAGGAAAAGGTATTTCCCCCAGATTCACAGTTTCACGATCCCTCCCCAGCCAGCAAACCCAAGCAGCCCCTGACGGGCGAGCTGTGTCTCGGCTCAGATCCGAGACCCCAGACTCAAGACCCCAGGTGACGCCGGGGAGCGGAGGGCGCATCCCTGGCCGCTCCCTTCCCAAGCCAGCGCTCCAGGACGCTTTTCCCGGCGCCGCGGCGGGACCGGGCTGCCCCCGCACCGGGACCTTTGGGGCCTGAACCCCCTCCCCACG